TTTAAATGCTTGAAGCTTTTTTGTTATGATTCAAGTGAAAGTGTACATAGCACACCAAGTTTCTATTCAATAATTCATACTCATTTTATTTCATGCCGTTGATTGCAAGTCCCACCACGTAAAAGCCCCCATCGCACTGCATCTCCCATTCAATTTCTTCTTCTTTCCTACCCCGCCCGTCCTGTCTTCTGAACTCTGTGTCTGGGCAAATGCTGTCCCCTGCCTCACCCTGCTTTGTAACTTGTTGCTGTGGATTAGGAGACAACTTTCTGAGATCATCAGTTTTACATTCAACAATTCATACTCCCTGCCCACATCCCCTTGCATTGATTGCAATCCCTACCAGGGGAGCACACACATCCCACTTCCTCCTCTGTCTCCTGTCTCTATTCCTCCTTTTGTCTGAACCCTTGGGACTTTGGATCTTAAATGATCAATTATTCAAATGTAGGGATGAGTTCAATTCCAAACTTGAAGGGTGACTAAAAGCCATAGTCTTGGGGCTCTCAGTTGTCCCTCTCTGACCAGGAAGCCTGATCTCATTTGTGATTTTGAGTTCTGTTCCACAGTTTCCTCCCGCTTTCTCCAGGACTTCTAATGTGGTCCTTTTCAGAGCAGGTTGGTAGTGGTAGCCAGGCAACATCAAGTTCTGGGTTCAGGGTTGTGGAGACTGAGGTCTGCATGGCCTATTAGTCTACTGGACTAATTGTTCGCTTATATCTTTTGATTCTTCATTTAGTTCCCACTCTTTTTTCTTTTGTATAGGGTGAGACTAATGGCAGTACCTTAAACGACTACTCCATGCAGCCCTTTTGAGCTGGAATGGTTAATTATTCTAAGGAGTGTGTTTCACCATGGTGGTATTGTTCACCTTTGAAACCCGTTGATTGTTTGACTGATGGTCCAACATTTCTGTGCTCCGGAAGAGGATGAAGCCCAGCCCTAGGGGGTTGAGCCCTAGGATCCTCATTGCAGTTTCATGTGCTCATTTATCCTCAAAGAGCTGTAGCGCTGCTGGACTTACTGGTCCATTTCTCCTCAGGTCTTCCACCACAAGCTGATTGGAAGCATTCTGATCGGCTCTTTCAGAGTAGACCTGGGGACTGTGTACAACCAACCTGGTAAGACAGCACCACCTTCCAGCCTCTAGCTCCATTCTCTTCAAGTGCATTATCCATGAAGGTCTCTCAGGCAGCCGGCTGCTCGTCCTTCTGACTATCCAGTCAGTATCAGTGAGCGCAACGCTGAGCAAGACATGACTCTTGCCTTCAAAAGGTTACAATCTCATGAGATTATTTTATTTGCCCATATTTCCGAGAAATTCATTTTTGTTCTCATGGATTCTCTCATTTAGGCTGGTGAGACATTAAGACAAAAGAGGCAATAAGGTAGAAAAGTTAAGAATAGGAAGTAGGGAGTCAAATGAGGACTTCAAATTCCACTGTGTCATTTCCTAGCTGTGTGGCCTTGGACAGATGACTGAACTTCTCCATTCCTTAGTTTCCTCACCTTTAAAAATGGGGATAGTATCAGATCTACTTTAAAGGGTTGCTGGAGGATTACGTTCATAGAAATATGTGAAGTGCTCAGTCTAGCACATAGTGATGACTATGATATCCATGTAAGTGTTTCATGTAATAATTACTACTATCCCTGATTTATAGGAAAGTGAAACCCAGAGAATTTGTCCAAGGTCAAGAGCTAAGAAGTAACAGAGCCCCTTCCTTTCAACAGTTGTTCCTCCTTATGCACATGACCAGGTCAGCACCGTAGTTGAGTATAATGCATTGAGCATGACGATGTCTGTAGGGAACAGGAAGTCATGTGACTCAGTCAAGGAACAGTGGAAACCTGAACCCAGTGTTTCCAGCTCTTTCCCTTATTTTTAAGATAAGCTAGAAGTCTAGATTTTCTTAGAAACTTTGAAATGTTGAGGTACAGTTTAGGCCAAACAAAAATATCCACGAGTCACATTTATAGCCCATGGGCATAGAATAAAGGACTTCCACACTCCATTAGTACTATCCCATCCTTGGTAGGGCAAACAGCTAATGCTTTTAGCTGCTAACAGAAAGTTTGATGGTTCAAACCCACCGAGAGGTGCCTCAGAAGAAAAACCTGGGCACACCCTTCTGAAAGACCAGCCATGGGAAACCCTGAGGAAGGCAGGTGTGCTTTGCACACACGGGACCTCCACAAGGCTGAGTGGCCTTGACAACAAGGGGTACCAGTCAGAGTTAGGCCCCTGTGCACCTGCTGTCACTGGGTGAAGGTTCCCAGAGGGAGAGAGAGAGAGAGTGAGGTGGGAGTAAGAGGAAAGGAAAGAAAAGAAGGCAGGCAAGAGACTTGGGGGAAACCTAACAGCCGAGAGAGGAGAGTACATAGGGGACCTTGGGCTGGGAAAGAAATGGGTGGAGGTGCTGGGTCCTCGGGGCAGGCTATCTGAGCTGTCAGGGCATTTTTCCAGGTCATCAGTTCTGTGACAAGTGGGCCCTGCTCACAGACCCTGCAGACATCCGGACTGGCACCAAGGGGTACCTGAAGTGTGACATCAGCGTGACTGGGAAAGGCGACCTCTTGAAGACCAACCCCAAAACCGCGGACGCCGAGGAGCAAATTGAAAAGTGAGGCTGCGCCATCCAGTGCTGTGCAAGAGCAAGGAGGCTCTCAGTCCCAGTGCCTCTTCCCTTCCCTCAGCCCCTCCCTTAGAACTAGCAAGTTCCTGGCTTGCCCGCCTGGGCTTCTGCTCTAGCAGGCTCACCTAGACACGACTCATTGAAGGCACGGTTGCCAGGGGGAGACCAGCTGCTAAAATAAAGCCTGTTTTTCTATCATAGTCCATTACACATAAGCTATTCTGAAGCCTAGGTGATGTCTCTTGGAAGGAATTGCCATTTCAACCTCTGGTTTCTGAAGTGACGAGTCTTAAATGTCCCGCTGTTACAGGACAGAGGGGCAGACAGTGTTGATTCTAGAACCCTGGGACCCGAGTCCATTTGGATTCACTCTATCATCTCTGTTCACGGTCTTTCCATGAGGAAGAAAACTCTCCTCAGGGCGAATCCTGGTCTATGCGGGAGTTTCTCCTGTGACAGGCGCCTCTTTTCAACCTCCATAGTGTGCTTCTCCTTTGCCTCTTTCTGTCAAACAGAGCCTGTTTTGAATGTTGACTTTTGCTCCCTTGTTAGGAATCTTCTGATTCCCCAAGGGTTTCCATCCGAGAGACCCTGGGCCAGATTCTACGTGAGACTCTACAAAGCGGAAGGGCTACCCAAAATGAACTCCAGCATCATGGCGAATGTCACCAAAGCGTTTGTGGGTGACAGCAAGGACCTCGTGGACCCTTTTGTGGAGGTGTCCTTCGCTGGGCAGATGGTAAGGAGTCATTTGTCACCTTTGTCACTAAGACTGGCAGGTCCATGCCAGGGTCCTTCCTTTACCCTGGACGATGTAACTTTAAAAGGTTAAGTTACAATAACAATAAAAACTCAGTCAGTGCCCTGAAAGAGAAATCATGAAAGTCAGTGGGTCAGGTGGGGAGACAAGTAGAGGAGGGTTACTCGCTCGCTTACTCACTCACTCGCTCGCTCACTCTTACTAGAGAGCATGAGAGTGGTGGTGGGTGGGCCATTGTTTAGGAGCCCAGCCATACAGGCCTCCTCCCTCATTTCTGGCTACTTCTCTGAGCTACTACCCAGTCTTCAGGCCTAAAGAATTATTGTCATCCTCCCAATCAGCACCATAATCCACCCAGGCGGTCCTCGTTACCTTAGTTACGTAGTGCTGCTATTTCAGAAATATCACAAGCGGGTGGCTATAATAAACAGGAATTTATCTCTTATCATGTAGGAAGCTAGAAGTCCAACTTCAGGGTGCCAACTCTGGGGCAAGGCTATGGGGGAAAATCCTTGTCTCTTTCCTAGAGCGGTGGGATGGATGTCCCTTGAAGGTCTTCACGTATCTTGCCATCAATCTTCCCCTGGGTCTAGGAGGTTCTCAGCTCAGGGACCCTGGGTCCAAAGTATGTGCTTCTGTGATCTTAGAAGAAAAAAATGTGAGGTAGGCTACATCCTAGAGAAACTTCCCTTATAGGGGATCAAGAGTATGACTTGAGTATGGGTGTTAAATTTCACCCTAATTCCCTTACACGTGACTGGCCGATTACATCATAGTGGAGAATCATATCAGTAGATGCCTCTGCCAAATGACACCAGTACATAACTGCCAAACTACTGAGAATCATGGCCTAGACAAATTGATACTTGTTTGAGGGAGACACAGTTCAACCCCTGACACGTAAACCTGAAAATCCCTGCTCTCTGCCAGCCACTGCGAGCACCAGGGTCCGAGTACCAGTGACAGCTAATCCTTGCTGGCCAGACTTTGAAGTATCAGCTGACACTCATGTCGTCTCTGGCCCTGGAATATGTGCCTTACGTCCCTCCCCTGGTCAAGGGTGAGCACTGATTTGTGAGGACCTCAGCGGTCCTATCAGACACAATCTCTTTTATGATGAACCTGAGGCCCAGGCTGGGAAGTGATTCTGACTTTTCATAAAACACAAACCAAGGGTCTCAGGATAGCATTCCTTGTGCTTCTGATGCTGGATGGCGTAACTTCTATTCAGAATACAGATGTTTGTTTCCTCCCAACCCCATAGTCTGATAGGAACCCCGAGGGCAGGGATGCGTCCGACTCACATGTTTTCCAGATGTCTGGCAGCATGCCTGCACAGAGTTGTTGTTGGGAGCCACCGTGTCACTTCTGACTTATAGCAGCACTACATGCAACAGAGCAGAACACTCCCCCGTCCTTCACCACCCTTACAGTCCCAGCTGTGTTTGAGCTCGCGGTTGTAGCCACTGCACCGATCGCGTTGGTAGTGGTGTTGATCAAATACAATTGAGTGTCTGGTGGAAATAGCTTCATGACTTTGGCAAGTCACTTGACACTTGCAGCGAAGTAGAGCATTTCTTTTGTCACTCAAGGGCTAATTCTCTCCAGCTTTCTTCCGTGGCTCACATCTCCCTGGCTTTGTGTTCAGGGGCGGACCACAGTGCAGAAGAACTGCGCCGATCCTGTGTGGCATGAACAGGTGGTCTTCAAGGAAATGTTCCCTCCCTTGTGTCGGAGGGTGAAAATCCAGGTATGGGATGAAGGCAGCATGAATGATGTGACACTGGCCACCCATTTCATCGACTTGAAGAAGATCTCCAATGAACAAGACGGAGATAAAGGTGAAGGAAGCCACATTGTTTGACATGAAAATCACTGATTTCGGGGTTTGAGCAGGCACGATGTTAGACAGAGCTGGATCTGTTAAGCAACTATGACCATGAATGAATGAAACTGTAATGTCAGCTAGAAACTGCTTATTGTGGCCTCCACTCCTCCAATAACAAATTGTGCCGAGGGCCATGCCTTACACATCACACCCTAGATCTGCCTCTGTTGTTAGGCACCTTCTGTGTTTCTGGGCAGTGGCTTGTGCTTGGTGCTGACAGTGGACAGAGCCAAGCTCTGGTTCCAGGTTTGGTCCTGGTCCTAGATCTCCTAGCAACATCACTACTGAACTGAGAACACCACTCTTTCCCTGCGCCTCAGTTCTGCTTTGTTTTTGCATTGAGTTTAGGTTAGATCGGGATTGGCAAGCCAGGTGTCTATCAACTAGTCCATCCTGTTGCATATTTCAGTAGGGCCTACGTGCTAAAAATTAGTTTTATATTATTGAGGCCTCCAGCCAGTGTTATGTCCCTAACTCACTGATGGGTGCCTGACGGCATAAGTACAGCGAAGCGCTGCTGACAGTACTCGGAGCCTCAGGAAAGAACGAAGAGGCTCAGCTAACCCGCCAGGTCAGGCAGGCAAGCAGAGGACAAGCCAGTAGCTGCTTTGTTCTCCACTGAACTTGTGTCTAGTGTTTCGCGTGGCCTCTGGCACATTGAAGCCAGTAAACGTTGGGTGAATGAGCAAACAGGAAAGGAGGCGCACTGACCTTTAGAGTACTTTTATATTACAACTGTGAACAGTGTTAGCACATGCACAGAAAAAAGACGAGAAGGAAATGCAGCAAAATAGCGCTCCCGCTGCCCTTGAGTCAATTCTGACACATGGTGGCCCTACTGGACAGAGCACAACTACCCCATCGAGTTTTCAAGGCTGCTCTTTTAATGAACCCAACATACCCGAGAGGCTGGTGGGTTCGAACCACTTACCTTTTTGTTAGTCATCCAGTGCTTAACCACCACCTCACCAGAGCTCCTCAAGTGACAATAGTGCCTCCTTGATCGATGGAAAACTGTATTCTTTTTGTCATTTCTGTAGAGCTTTAGAAGTAAATTCACATCATTTATATGAAGCGAAAAATAAAAGCAAAACAATAAACTTAAAAACATAGCCTTGTCACTAACGCCTAGTGTCTCCCTAGGCTTTCTACCCACCTTTGGGCCTGCCTGGATTAACCTGTATGGCTCACCCAGGAACCACAGCCTGATGGACGACTACCAGGAGCTGAATGAAGGCTTGGGGGAAGGCGTGTCCTTCAGGGGGAGGATCCTGGTGGAAATTGCTGTGGAAATCCTCTCAGGAGGGGCACAGGAGTCGAAGTTTTCCAAAGCCCTGAAGGGACTCAAGGTGTCTTTGAAGGACAAAGACTCCAAGTCTCCCAAAGGGTCGAGTAAAGACAAGGGTGACAAAACCGATGATGCAAAATCCCAGCAGGCTTCAGACAAGACGAACTCGACTGAGGTCGAGGTGGAACCTTTCGATGTGCCTCCCGAGGTGAGTCTGACCCACTGGCCACAGCACTTGTGAGACGAGTCCTGCACGGAGATGGCCCCTGCTGAGGGTCCCAAAGATGTGTGCCTGCGTGGGTCTCATTCCCTGCTCAAAACTGGTGCTGGCCTCGCCCTGTTTTCTCTTAGTACATGCTTCTCAGTCCAATGATCTGCTCATGAGAAACCCTTTCCGAGTCTCCCCTAAACACAGATTTCCATGGAAACCAAAGTGAAGTGAAGCAAGGAATGCTCTGGGGGCGATGGTGGGAGTTGGTGGCAGAGTGACTGGCTATGCTATATCTGGAACCTCGTTTCACTTAGCTTGTTGAGCTTAGGGTATGTATTAGACAGGGTTCTCTCGAGATATAAAACCAAATTGCTGATAATTTAATATATTTATTTATAAAGATAATTAGATATATAACAAGAAATGAACTGTTAAATCATATACAGATAAATATACAATACAAGAAATGAACAGTTAAATTATAAAGTAGTACAAATGACTCAGTGCAACTCACTCCCGTGAGAGAGAGTTGTGAGACACTAGCAGTCCTTCAAGTCTAGTCTGCTGCCAGGTTTTCCTCTCTATATAGAGAGAGCTAGGCTATCTCAGCACAGCAGCCAATCACAAGGCAGGTCACCAACTGTCAGCCAGGTCACCAACCGCCAGTCCCCAGCTCCAGAGGTGACTTAAAGGGACCTCAACTTAAAGTGACACAGTCTACAGGCTAGGCATCCCACAGATAGTGTAGCCTGTAAATTGAGGCACAGAACAAGCAAGGCAGCCGCACACTGGTCCAATGATCAAAGAGTGAGAGACAAGAAAGGTGAGGCTCACCAAGCCATTTATCTCTCCACCCTTCAGTTAATCCCACTTGTGTTTATAGGTCAAGCTGGCACAATAAACGATCTCAGGGTATGTTTAGGATATGAGGTCATATGGAATGAAAGGAAGGGGAGGAGGAAATTGAGAAGCTGATTCTCCCACAGCAAGCCTATGCGAACATCACGGCTCAAGGGAACCCTTATTTTTGCTTATTTCAACATAAAGCCCACGCACATTTTTTTCCACCCCAAGTTCAGTGCTGTATTATGGGAAAGAGATCTAGAGCTCCAAGATGAATACAAACTCTGAGGGTAGCCTCCTGCAATAATTCACTTTAGCAACAGTAACCGGAAGTTCAGAGAATTAAAGAGTGTAAGGTTCGGCAGCAAAGTTGGGTAGATTCCAGCTCTGGGAATATGTTTCTCAGATCAACCAGACAGCATCTTCTTCTTCTTCTTCTTCTTTTTTTAGGTAGAGAAAGTAGGTAACTATTGTTTTCCTAGAGATGTCCATTCCTAGAGAAGAATCGACTGTCTACAGCATTATAGCATTTGACCTTGTGACGTCCTTGAGTCATTGGGCTTTAGTGTAATCAGATAAAAGATGGAGGCTGGTGAAGATGAATTCTATAGCCCTTCTCAGTGTAAAAGGCAATGTCCCACCATGCCCTGCCAGATGTCCAGTCTGTGCATTTCGCAAAGCAAGTATGTGCAGTAGCATATCCTGGTATGTTAGCATCACCTTTTACCTGGCTTGTGCTCTTTCAGGGAGTACAGTTTAACTTTGGGATAATACCAAAGCATTGGGTTCAAAGCATACTGAGCCTGTTGTCAGACCTTTGATAAAATCACTCAACAACCTTGAGCTTCAGTTTCATCTCCTTTTTGATCTGTAAAATGGGTATGATCCAAATAAGACCTCTCCAGTTTAGTACAAGAAACAAATATAATGTATGTGGCTACCCTGTGTAAGCCAGACCCCAGCTCCAGCAGAACGGTTTAATCTTGTGACTTTGTGTAGCTGGTCTCCTGTGTTCTGCCTCCTAAATGCCTGATCACCAGAACACGCTCCCTGTGTTACCAAGAGCACCTTAGGAAGACACACCACGTTTATATGTGAAAAGTAAAGGAGAAGTTAATTTAAGGTGGTCTAGCAGCTATCAGGAGTCCTCAAACTATGGCCCGCGGGCCACATGCCGCCCACCTAGGACATTTATCCGGCCCTCCGGGTGTTTTTGTCCCGTTTGTTTTTTTACTTCAAAATAAGATATGTGCAGTGTGCATAGGAATTTGTTCATAGTTTTTTTTTTAGAAACTATAGTCCAGCCCTCCAACAGGTCTAAGGGACAGTGAACTGGCCCCCTGTTTAAAACATTTGAGGACCCCTGGGCTATATCATTCTAGCTAAATGGCTGGACTTGGATCTGCACTCTGCTAGTCTTGGTTCTTGCCTGTCTGATTAACTGGGAAATATTGTGCCATTTCATACTGAAACCGAGGCTCAAATCTACCTGGTCAGGTTAACAGCATTTGATTAGCTTCCTTGTAAGAAAGAAAAAAGCCAGTCTTGTCTAAGAATTTTTTTTTTACTTGCATAGATTGTACCAGAAAAATATGAAGAATTTTTACTCTTTGGAACATTTTTTGAAGCTACTATGATTGACCGGAAGATTGGAGATAAACCCATTAGCTTTGAAGTTTCTGTGGGTAAGTGCAGGGCCAGCCCGGGGCCTGGCACGGGCCTTCACAACTGTCACTTGAGTGAGTGTGCAAGTGGCTTACAAGAAGATGATGACGGTGTGGTGACAGCTTGCACACCAGAAGGAAATGAGCAATTCCTTGTCCACGCTAGTGTCAATATCGAAAGGATGACTTCATTTTCATTCATTTATTTAAAAAGTAATAATCAAGAATATAGACCAAATTGGACTATGAATGCTGTAACTCATCCCTAATGGATGTCGGGGACCACTTCTCGCTGGTGAGGTGTGCGATGTGAACAGCTCATGATGATTTCTTGCACCTTATATAGCCCGCAGGCTTGAAAGCCCCCATGCCTAGTTTGAGGAATTATTGCATATCGTAAGTGCTATTATTTTAACTCTTAGCAATGGTGCTGGGCTGGGAAAAGCATTCCAAGAATGAAGAGCCCCACAGGAAAGGTGGCGGCTCACAATTGGGGAGGCAGGCCTCTTGTGCTCCATAGAGCAGGAGATGGTGATGGAGTGCCGCACTCCTGAACCATACGGCTGGAGCACTTAGACAATGCCAATCCACATGTCCAGAGAAAGGCAGATTACAAAATGGCATATCTACATCTACATGAAATTTTTTGAAATGGTAGTCACCAAAGTGCTGGAAAACAGTTATGGTTAGGTTCCAACATTTCGATGGATCTTATTTTCCCAGTTGGAATGTGTATCATGTTCAACAAAAGAGAAAATAAGATGGATGTAGATGATGCTCATAGTCATGGTCCATCTTACTTCTTTGGTCTGATCATTGCTCTTCTCACCTTTGTTTTAAATCATCTTACTGGGGGCTCATACAGCTCTTACCACAATACATCCATCCATTGCATAAAGCACATTTGTGCATTTGTTGCCATTATTGTTCTCAAAACACTTTCTTTCTACTTGAGCCCTTGGTATCAGCTCCTCATATTTACCCCATCCTTCCCCCACCCTTCCTTCCTCATGAACCTTTGATAATTTATAAATTATTATTATTTTTTCATGTCTTACACTGACTTGATGTTTCCCTTCACCCACTTTTCTGTTGTCCGTCCCCCAGGGAGGGGGTTATATGTAGATCATTGTGATGTTTCCCCTTCTTCCCCTACCTTCCCCTTCCCCTCCTGGTACTGCTACTCCCATTATTAGACCTGAAGGGTTTATTTGTCCTGGATTCCCTGTGTTTCCAGGTCTTATATCTATACCCGTCTTCTCACCTTTATGATGAGAGCTTATGTCCCTACCCTGGGTGGACAGGCACTTGCCTCTCATACCAAGCAGGCTGACACTGCTTGTTGAAAACCTGCCCTTCTCCCCTGGCTGCTGCCTCTGCAGGCAATTTTGGGAACCTGATTGATGGAGGGTCCCATCATGGAAGTAAAAAGAAGTCAGCGGAGTCAATGGAAGAAGACAGCCTTCCGCTGCTGCATGAAGGAGAAGGGGACTCAGCCCATAATGTAACCATCCCAATGGTCTCCACCACTCATCCAGAGAAGCCACTGGTGACAGAAGGGAACAGGTAAGGGGCATAGGAGAAGACGGAGAGGGGGTTCTGCCTATTTCTATTCCTGTTTTATTTCGTTTCCCCTTACAATCAGAAACATCCTTTTTGATCTCAGTTGTGGGAACAACGTGTAAACAGGGCAAAATCATGCCACCGCTGAATCTTTAACAAAATGCTGGCAGCTCTCCAAGTGATGTGTCCAGGTAATTCGGCGTTGTTGCTGGTAGGTGCTGTCAGGTTGGTTCCAGCTCAACGGGACAAAACACTGCGCAGTCCTGCACCATCCTCACAATTGTTGTGCTTGCGCCTGTGGTTGCAGCCCCTGTGTCGCTTCATCTCCTAGATGGTCTTCCACCTTGTCATCACCCTCTACCTTCTCAAACATGATTGTCAGAGTAACCCAGCCTCTAGGCGCAATTGTACGGCGATAAGATATAAAGCTCACAGTAAAGCCCTAGAGAACAGGAAAGATAGGAGAGAGAACAAGATCAAGGAGTCAGAGATATTCTATGGTGGCATGCTCACCTCCGGGACAGCCATGATCTCAGCATCCAGGTCTGCACAGAGAGAGAGCCTC